TGTAAAATATAGTTTCATGGTTGCATGAAACTGAAGAAACTATCTAACGCTATACAATAGATGTACCAAACGGTGACATTTTACCTTTTTGAATTTTTGGAAACCTGGAAACATTTGCGCTGAATGTCTATAATTTTGAAGATGGGTGACAATTCCTAGCTTGACATCCGAAATAATAATGCCACAGAGAAGTTTTAATTTATGTTTGCAAATTATGAATGGTTTACTTAGCAGTATTTTTTTACTTATTTATTTTATTCACGTCAACTGATTCACAAATTTCCCAACAAGTTCTACATCAACTTTTATTTGCGTTTTAAAGTTTTTGTTACAAATAGCCCAGAAATTCAATATTAATAAAACACACATCTGTGTTAATGAAAACAATTGAAGATCCCCTTTAGCAGAAATATGATGAGCTATGTTAGAAGAAATAGATTTAGTACCAAAGAAAGTTTACGTACTTTACAAGAAATTCCATCTAATGATTTAATGAATTTATGAATGTTATGCTGTGGACTAAGCGTTAGAAAAATCTAGAAACCTCGCCAGAGAACCGGATTTCGATACCTTGTCTTGATGGACGACTACTTTTTTGTGCTGGTATAACCCGGATGAAAATAACACGAGAAAAAGTCTAAAGGTGCAACTCGCCCTGAAATGTTTTCAAAGGAAAAAAAAACTTGTCCTAGACCAAATTTAAGGAAAGAAAACTGTCTCTCAGTGCTTTCCATTTGTTTATCCATGAAGCGATGTTCACATGTCTTCAGAAATACTTTAAAGTTCATGGAAAACGTCAGAATCCAGGCTTCAGCATGATTAAAAAAAAGGAGAGAGAGATCTGTAAATCAATAGTGAGATTTCAGCATATAAAAATATACCGGTGAAACAATAATGGAATAAAAAACTGGATTCATCTGTTTTTATCCCAAAACGATGAACAAAAATTAATTAGAACGTACTGAAACATATGATGGTTAACTTTACCTAAAAACTGCCCTCCCCCCCCCAAGAAAAGGTAAATTTTGCTAAATACTTGAAATTAGAGATAAGTTCATAATGAATTGACAAAAGAACTCCTAATGCCTCCGTCTCCTAGTGCTTCTCAAAATTCTAAACATTTTGACGCTTGGCGCAAGCATACCGGTTGCATCCACTTTGGCCATCGTCGTGAACGCAGTGCGGAATAAGTAAAGGCCCTGCTTAAATATATCGCTCTCAATTTATGAAGTGGCAAATTTTCCTGTACTTCTAGCATTAAAACCTATTACCGAGAAACAGATATTCTCAGCATCAGTACTTTGATATGCGAAGTATGACACAGGTCGCTGCAATCATATTATAAAAGAAAACGGCGTATCGTTCTGAAAATGGCGTAAGAAATACGAGAAAGGCATTAAAAAAATTAATTCCTTAAACGAAAACGTTTTCAATAACTCTCGTTCCACTAAGGAACGAATTATTTGCTTTTAACACAATAGCTTTGTAAACAAAACGGTCAGAAAATTAAGTTAAAAGTGCAAATCACTATTAAATGCTAAAAAAAGGAAAACTTAAAGACTTCCAACAGTTTGTAATACATAACAACTATGTAAATAATGAGATTAGCCGCAAGCTTAAAAATGCTGCTCCAACAAAATATTTGCATCATGGCGATTTGTTTACAAATGCACACGATTGCATTCCTCAAGCTATTAATTTGATTAAATAGACAAAAACTAATCTTGAGATGCAGTTGCTTTACTTTTAGGACATTAATCAAACTTTCAGAGTCTTTAAATTGTTTCTAGGGCGAGATTTTCTGTCTTGAAGCATTCAACCATCTTGTTATTTTCATAATAATCTGTTCTTTTTTTGAAAAGCCTACTACTTCCCATCTCAAAGATCCTTCAAAATGCTATTTCGGTGCCATAAAAAATCTATAAGCAATGAAGGCAAACTTTGAAATAAAAAAAATTTGTGGTCAAACGTGCTTTGTGCAAAGCTCTTTCTATGCCACTAGAGGAACTCATTTTTTCCCTCCGTTTTAGAAGCAGAAACAATTAAATTGAGTTGATACGTTTGTCTTGCTAATTCTATGAAAAAAAGTCATACTGATTAACTAATTCGTGAAATATTATCATTTTTATTTATTTAAAGATACTACATTTGAATAGTGATATAAATCCTACTAACAGGACGGCACTGGACGCACCAGCATCGAATGGTCTGGTTTTAGAATCCCGTTAATTTCTTATATTCAGTTGAATTATTGACCTTCAGGATGTCAACTAAGATGTCAAGAGGTATAAAAAGATGATGCTAAAGCTAATAAGTGCAAGTAAATATCATTAGTGCTAGAAAATTGAAACTAATGAAAAAAAAATGAGATAAAAGAACTTTTGTAAAGACAATGTATGAATACCATAAGATAGGATAATTATCTGCGTATGACTTTAGAAACAACAGGAGATTTTCCACCATTTTGGCTGCTAATAAATGTCAAAAAAAAACTTAATTTTAAAATCTTCTTTAAAAGCTCAAAGGAAATTATTCCTTCTTGTCTTAAGTTTTGTAATTAGCTGACATCAGAGCAATACATATGTGGAGTGAGATGGACAAGCTTGGTGGTTAGATATAGTCTTTGGAATCGACTTCTACTTTCCACAGATTCTTGTGCTTTTTCAATGGTCATATCTTAGGATCGCCGTATTTAAGAGGTAAAACTGCAATTCTTTTTATTGCTATTAAAATTGGTTCACTTTTTTAGTAGTAATCACAACATATAGGTGCTCAATTTAGCATAAAATTATTGCCAACGCATATCGTATTGCCAAACATATAGCGCATGTAGTGTTGTTCGAGTGTAAGTTTACCATTTAGGGGAAGAAATTCCAAAAGGGAATAGTTAAATTGAATATTTTAAAGCTACAAGCCATAATCATCGCTTTCTCTTTTTATTTGTCAGCCACGAGTACAGTCAGATGCAACAAGCTTTGTTAATTTCTACCGCAAATGCCAAAAACAATTGGGAAGAAAACAATGTTGTCAATAGTTTTTTGAACTCGAGAAAGTTCGGTTCATTCACATTATCAGAGTGTGGATGGAATACTAAATGATTCGATCGGTGAAGAGTATTTAGAGTTAAGACAGGATGAAGGTAATTAAAGGAGCGAGCCAGATTACCTTGCAAGCTGTAACGGTTACGGTTGTGTAAATCGGAATCTTAGCGAGTGGCGGATGTTTAACGAGCCGATACAAGTGTTTTTGTATTGTTTTATCTTATTTTACCATTAGTTAGGTATTAGAGCCTTTAATTTGATACCGTAAGAATCAATGTGTATTATTTTTTTTTCAACTGCATATTTTTAATTTTAACAATGCACATACAATTCATATTATGTTAAGATTAAAATAATGATATTTAACACCTTCGAGAGCATTTAATTTAATATTCAATTTTAAGAATCATTATTATGCACAGTTACGCATAACTTCACGCAAGAAGCCTGGTTATAGGCTTTTAAGCAATTTAAAATTAATATTTAAAAACAACGTCAAAAAGCAGACGCATTATATTTACAATGTATAATTGGAAGCAAATCGGCATCTCCTTATTTTTTAATATAATAAGGAAAGATCCAAAGTCAATATATATATATATATTGGTGGAAATATGCGCATATATAACTGCTGTGCCCAAAACGTTTGCTAAATGTTTATATGCTTACAGCACTAGTATATAAGGCAGTTATATTTGAGAAGTAAAGAAATTACAATATGATGATCTTTGAAGTAAAGAAATCTGGAAACAAACTTGCTTCAGTGTTGAGTTCCTGACATTCATGAACGCATTTAAAGAAAGCTGTTTATTTTCGTATGTGGTATAGATTGACATCTGCATCATTTTGAATAGCTTGAATTACCTGAAAACGCTCAGACCATACACTTATTCTGATAAGAGATAGCAACGGGGTCAGAAGGGCAGAAATCTGACAAATAAGGTAGTGTAGCATGACAGAGATCTGTTTCTGATTAAAGAAAACCATGCTTGTTTCCTCAAAAAGCGGCATCACGGGAAATACTCGGAATTTCTTTAAACTCTGTTTCCATTAAAACACGAGCTATTTTTTATAGATGGTAAATGAATAACAAAAGTGACATCCCTCGCTATCCTAAATGATGTTCCTTCATGTAAAGTTCATCCATAAAGAATTAAGTTACCGTCCACAAACAGCCAAATTCAAGTGTTCACATGCGTTTTTCCGTGAACTATTTAAACATGTACGGGTACAATTGGGAAGGATATCAGAAATTTTCAGGATTTACCAAACATCTTCTCTTACCACCAAACTACTCGACAGGCTTTTCGTCTCCCCAGAAATTTGAGTGCCGCAAAAACACTATACACTTACAAACATCCATGCCTTCTCCGAGATTCGAACACAATCCCTTCAATACGGCAGCTAGCATTGCTAGCCACTATTCCGATCAGGATGGCGAAGTGTTTGACCAAAGGATTATGTACACGTATATTTATTCATACACGCACATGACAGGGAACAGCCATATGCAAAATTTCCAACACACCATATTCATGGCTATAATCAAGATCGTAATATAATAGATTTTGATTATTGTGTTAGAATAAAAATTATATGATATCAAAAGAGCTCTGACAAGCAGTATTGTATTTTTAAGCTGCAGAATGTGAAGTGAAATAGCATAAAAATTTCTTATTCTCATGAGTAGAAACATAAATAAAATTGTTGGAAAGAATGACAAATCATAAAGAAAAACATATAACTTTACAATTAAAAGATAAAGCGCATTTAATTTACTAAACTAAGGTTTTGCTGAATAACTCTCAATTTTCAATAGAAAATGTATAGGAAATCTAGAAAAAGTAACTGATTTAACTGCTTATTAAACCTACATGACGTCACTCTTTAAAAGTATGACAGAATTTTCACCAAAATCATTTAAAATGTAGAGTTCATATTTTAAGTACAACAGCTTACCTTTGGTAAGACTGGTTGGATTATGAATTCCGCCTGAGCTATTTCTTCCTTGATCCAACAAAGGTTTGACACACCTCTCGTAGAAATTTTCGTTGTGTGGGCCTTTGTATGTATGGCAGGAATCGCAGACAGTGTCTTTAGAGGCCGTGCAGGGATGAGCCACGTAAAGGCCTACACCACACCTCGAACAGGGATAACAAGGTCTGTGGGATGAATGATGACTTGAGTAATGGTCTGAAGCACAGGCTGTGCATTCTGTGTCGTGGTGGCGGTTGCAGTGACGTTCGACACCGTAACCTGGTGGGCAACTGGAACAATCGCTCAAATTTTGCGGTCGGTGATGATGAGAACGCTTTGTCATAACGAACTGCAACAGAAAATAAAAATTACTATTAGATTAATTTACTTTTTAATAATAATAAGGAACATTTTCAATATATTCAATATTAAAACATGCATACTTGTAAACTATATCTTTCGTAATAAAAGGACCACAAGAAAGACAGTCTTTCGCAGCGAAAAAGTATGATTTGTAATTATGTATCTTATAAAACTGAGTGCAAAGATACTGAAAAATATATTTTCCATGGAAATTCATTGGTTTCCATGCAGATATACTGGATATACCGGAAGATGCAGATATACCGGATATAAGGCAGATACACCGGAAAATATATTTTACATAAAAATTCATAGGTTAGAAAAAGTTTCAGTTTAATGCCTGCTCTTAATTTTATTTAGATGATATGGCTATGTACATTTATTTGTTACAAAACAAGTTATGCGCACAGAATACGCATTAAACGTTGCTATCAAACTTATTACGGCATAATACGCCTCCAATAATAATAATAATAATAATAATAATAATAATCTGATTCAAATTGAAAAAAAAAAAAAAGAATCAAATTTGCAAGTTACTATTAAATAATTAAAAATACATTAAAGGAGAGTCGGAAGCAAACATGTGTAGTGGAATTTTGAAATTAGGAAAAATTGAGCACTGCGCTGATATATTTTTATAATTTCTAAGAAGTGTGACGCGGGTCCTATTTCTTCGACAAAGAAATTTTCTTAGTTGAAGTTTATGTTTGCTAAATTGTGTTTCAATTTTACATAATTTTAACGTTAGAGACCTCGAAATTTAGTTTCATATATTTTTGTAACAATGTAATTGATTAACAGATAAAAATTTATTTTAAAATTTAGTACTTGTACAAAACATAAGTAAATTGTATTTTTGATTAAATAATAAAGAGTTTTAAAGTATTTTGATTGAAACTTTTAATGCGTTATTCGATCTTTAGTTAATGTATTATATTTCTTTAAAAATTTCTGCAATGAAACCAGTACGAATATACTTCAAATTTAACATCTATATTATTATTATTATTATTATTATTATTAATTTATTCTAAGTTAGCATTAGAAGCGCGTCATAAGACGGAAACCTTCCGATATGCGAAACGTACAAGTCCATCCTTAGTGGCAACAATGGGAAATTATTTACGATTTTACTGGCGGAAGTAAATTAATTCTAATCTTTACAATATTGCGTAATTCTAAGGATTACTAATTTCGATTCTACGAAAAGTAAAAATAAAAACGAATTTGCCAAACTAATTGAAAAAAAATTATTCAATCTGTCTTTAGTGTATTACATTTCATCAAAAATTTCCACAAGAAAACCATGCGAATATGTCAAAAAATTTAAATATCTTTTACTGTTATTATTCTAAACTAATATCAGAACTGGATCCTAAGCTGGAACCTTTGCAATAATCAGAACGTAAGAGTCTATCTTCAATGGCAACAATAATTAAATTTTACGCAATTTTTATTAGCGAAAGTAAATAGATTCTAATCTTTATAATGTTGTACAATTCTAAGAATTAGTTGCTTCGAATATAAAGTAAAAATAAAATCTTCTAAATAGTTGCAAATAAAGCAAAAAAAAAAAAAAAAAAAAAGTTAAGAAATTTGAATTTATTAGACTTAATATTAGCTTACCAAGGTTCTTCCTCAGGATAAAATGAAAAACAACTATTGACTGAATATTAAGCTTCTATAATACTCTGTTGAGGAGAACAAAAAAAAAAAAAAAAAAAAAAAAAAAAAAAAAAATTCTCGTTCAACAATATTTCTCTTATTGTTAATATAATTCATACCAATTTATGGTTTTGTAAACGATATCGTTTGGCATCTCTAAGGTTAACTTTTCATTATCACTCGTTAAGTTTGTATTCCAGGAAGAGGAAAAGTGAGTTAAACGTGCATCAAAGGAAAAAAAGAAAGAAAAAATGGATGAAAAAAGTGGCAGCATTCAATGAAGCATGAAATCGTGAGTCGGGCCCGCCATGTGTCATAAACGGCATGTGGGTGAATAGGTTTTCCGGCTCTCATTAAGATACGCTCTGTTGGGACCGTTCCTCCTTCAAGGCGGAAAAAAAAATAAAAAAGTTGACAAAACAAAAGAAACCGACAATTTGTTTCTTTTTGAGATACTCTGCATACAGTGAAAAAAAAAATATACGAATGAATGAAAATAGTAAATAGAAGTTTGAGCTTTTTTTTTCTTTTGTTCCTTTGGATAAAAAGCGGTATATAACCGTCAAGAAATAAACTCTGTGAAATCTTAGCAAGTAATGACACCATATCAAGCCTAGGAGCGAAATTATAATCAATTCAATGATCAAAATCTGATGGTATAAAAATAAGAGTAAGTAATTATTCTGAAACAGCATTACTGTGTAAAATGAAAGGAGAATTTATTTTCTTTCCCCTCTACGAAGACAATCCCGCATTTGTATTGATTGCATTTTCAGAGGAATATACGGCTTAAAGTACCATTTTTTTCCCTTTCTTTTCTAGTAAATCAGGTATTTAATTTTATTGAGTCGATTAATTGATTACAGGCCAGTGGCCGAGACTGATGAAATTTAATACGACCACGAAACAAGGTACAAGGTTTTACCAGTTAACGAATGTTTAAATGCTTCAATTCTAAATTAAATTCGTTGTTTAAACTTCCATCAGGAATAGCAATAGTGGTTTTTTACCTATAGATATGAGACGAAAAATTTGTTTTCTTTCAAATAAATAAAATATCATGAAACAAAACAAAAAATAAAATTTTATTTTCAGGCTTTGTAGAAGTGTGAAATTCTGAATTAGTTTCTGCCTTGAACGTATTTTTAAGTTCACCTTGTATTTTAAAGACTATTGGACATGTCTCAATTCATGCTTTTCCATTTGAGGCTTTTACGAAAATAATCTCAGTTCAGCTTTTCCATTCAGGTTCAACGCCAAATCAGATAACGTAATGAGAGATCACATGACAATGAAGCTATCATTATTCGTCTTTTAAATTTAGCGTTCAGACGCTGTTTAAATACAACATTAATGTCACTGGGAATGAACACCTAACACACCAAACATTGAATTTTTTCTATTAAAGAGTAAGTAAAGCGCGAATCATTGTTTCGTCAGCTTCTTTATACGAATATCTGCCGCCTTTCAAACATCTCGTTGTCAAATATAATAAAGGAGAGAATTAGAAATAAACATTGAAATCGCATGATTTTTAATGTTTTTCACCCCTAACACCTGCTGAGTAATGAAAAAAACCTGAAGTAGTAAGATTTACATTGCCACGTTCAGAAAGTTTGAAGTGGAAAAGGTTGGAATGAGAGATCATAGGAAAAATCTTTCGCAATATCATAATAAACGTATTTTTGACCTAAATATCGATATATGTGATGTAGGATGGATTACTAGTTAATTGGCAAAGTTCAAACATTTTTATATATTTTCTTTCAATATCTCGATGTTTTCCTTGGAATAACTTTTGAAAATGACTTTTGGACTATAATATACTCAATGATAAAGCAAAGTATATATTTACAAAGTGAAAGGGGAAAAAATCAAACAGCATGATACAAAATAGTATGTTAATGCATTTGTAATAAAACAAAAAAGAATAAGTCAAAAAGAAAGAAAATAGGAAAACAAAACAAAGTGAGCATTACTCTTCAAAACGGAATAGTCAACGTCATAACAGAACGGTGCAATGTAGTATTTAATTACTATGCAGTAAGATTTCTTTGGAGAGGAAAAAAAAAAAAAAGGCAGATTTCCTCCAGTTTTGAAAGAAAGTACATTTGAAGGTCACCTACTTTAATAGTGACCAAATTTTTCCATATCGTGACAGAATGACAGTTGGTATAATTTTACCATTTCCGTTGAACGTTTTTAATCCTTTCCTTTCTGAAAGCTATTTACAGAAAGAGCCAGGTATTATTATCTGTATACCTTAATAATTGTAGTTACATCTACAGGTGCTCTGAAAACTTATTAGCACGCAAAAGACAAATTACTGATCCACCAGCCCCCATCTGTTTTCCTACTAACCCTTTTACAACAGGTTGCGCTAACATATGGTTTTCAAATAAGCAGAAACGTTTCTTAGATTAAGACTTTCCGCTGGGAATTGCGAATTTTATATGATCATTGGGGAACGGAGTATGTGTCATATAGAATCACAGCAAATAGAAGTATTTGTATAGGAAAAAAAAAAAAAAATCAGATCCATTAAGCTAATGTTAAGGTACCCAGGGTAACTGAAAAAGAGCTGATTTTTAAATACTTTGTTAAGAAAAGTATTTGAAGCGCTTAACAGTTTTTATTGCAAAATAAACTGGAGAATTCAATTCATTTCTTAAAATTATATAATTAGTAAGTTTCAGTATGCACTTAGTTGAAAGAGGCACTCTTTCCAACGCCTTTATGATGGATATTATCTGGTATTAATTGTAGCAAAGGCAACAAGTTATCATTTCGTAACAGTTGGCTGTGTTCTAAAAATATTTACGCATAAGTGCGCTGAGCAGCGAATAATAATAGAGTTAAAGTCTACCTATTACAATATGCACTGCATTTCTTGTTGCACGGTCGCCAAGATGAGCAATGCTCTGCGCATATTAAAATTACCTTCCCCTACAGCGGAAATATAGATACTGTACGGCTGTTTCCCATTATCTCATTACCGTAAGAGGACGGGCATCCTAAACAGTTTAAATCTATCTTGGTTTACATTATCGAGTCTTTGGGTGCGTCCAGACCAGGATCTTGCAGTCACAATCAGCATAAGCTGAACTACTGTCGCTAGGCGTCCAAACCTTCCTATGTAACTGAAAATAGTTTAAGGATTCTATATAAATGTTTCAACTTTTCAATTTTATGCAAAGATGGTTACAAGAACAAATCAATCACAGTAAAGCAAACGCAAATTGACATCCACTTTACAATTTCGCTGTGTCAGCTGCACATCCAAGCATGCGCAGAATTACCTTCTCTGATTGGCTAAGG